CTAATAACGCGTATTCATGTACATGTATATGCTTTGTATCAAATAAAACGTTTTATCATGAGTTGAACTACAGAATAAACATGTGTGTCGGGTAAAATATTTGTATTAAAGATTCTCCAGAATGTAGAGGGTACAAGGGGCATGGGGCCAGGCGTGTTAAATTCTTGTCATGGACCACTTTTATTGGCGATAGTGTAACATTTTTGGGAGGAATCATAACATTGATTGTAAGTAAACTGTCGCATGAAATATTTTGTAACGTATGAAAATTAAATTGCTGGTAGAGTCCATGTTATTTGAGTCATATATAAATATTCTAATATCAAGTTTAAGGCATGAGACATTATATGTACCGGTATTATCTTAATTTTTGCATTGTTGTTCTACTCTCTTCGACGGGTTATGCCTGCGTCACATTACACTCCGATTAGGTTTACGATGGAGAACCGATGTCTGGACGGGCTGAAATTGCAAATTTGATAAAGGTCTCCGGCCGGTGACCCTCAGGTGTCAAGTGACCCAGTGGGGCACCGTACAGGTAACCGGAGAATTTTAGCGCAGTTATTTTCTTCCGGCATCCGGTAAATTGCCAGCTCACCGTAGCAGACACGGTCAAATACCCTCCGATACCCGGCCGGACACCTTTTGTTATCGGTTACATACCGGTTAAAATTTTCACCTCCTGGGCGCCAAATATTCCTCCAGTTTCCGAGCGGTAAATGAGCGGTCACCGAAGGCGTCTCGACAGGTTACTGACCAGGGCCCGGATGGATGCAGTATGTTGCATGTATGGTCCTAAGGTGTCCGTAAGGATAGCGTTAGGGTAATTAAACAGACCTTACGTCTGGTAAAGCTTTGGACTGTGAATTAGGCGACACATGTTCATTTCTTAAACAACGGTGAAGGTAACTTTTGTTGTACAGAAGACGAAAGTGAAAGAGATTATTGTTACGCGCTAGCGGTCCTGGTGTCCGGATGGCCTTGGTATTGTATAACACAATATGCTATAGACAATGTAGTGTCCGGATGTCTGAGTGTGTGAGTGCTCGACCTTGATACCAGCTCCACTTATTAAAAATATATGATGCGCTAGCGGTCCTAGCGTCCGGATGGCCTTGGTATTGTAAAACACAATATGCTATAGACAATGTAATGTCCGGATGACTGAGTGTGTGAGTGCTCGACCTTGGTATCAGCTCCACTTATACTGCTCAGTTTCACCAGGCTGGTTTTATCCCAATGCCACTCCGAGTCTCTTGCAATATTGTCAGGCATACTAGGACTTAGGCTTCAGGGTGAAGGGCAAACAAATGGGCTATGGACTTCAGTACTCAATAAAGGGGGGGGGGAAGGTCTCAACCAGTATGGTAAATAAGAATTAAAATCTATTTTGTACACAATGACAAAAGACAAGTGACAAAGTATAATCAATTTAATTTTCTGTTAAATCTAAAGCAATCAGAACATGCTCATAAATTAATAACAAAGTTTCATGTTTTAACAACTTAATTAAAACTCATTAAATTATCTACCAACCTATGGCTAACCACTATATTTACTGAAATGCTAAACCCTTGTGCAAATATATGAATAACTTATAATTTACTGTTCACTGTATATAGAACCTACAAGCCTCAAACTCATATGGCAATGTAATAAATGATTTAAAATGCACAAGTTTACTTAAAGATATTTAGAAAAGCTATTATTACTTATCAATGAGAAATCTACAAAAACATTACAAGATTTCTCTTACAAAAATATTTCTTTGAAGATATAAAATCTTTTATTAAACCAAGAAAAATGTACTATTAATAATTTTTCTCTAGTGTCTATTCGCTATTTTGTTAAGTCACACTAACCTTTTAGAAAAATAAATGCTTTAAACTGTTCTTAAAATATAGCTACTAGAGTAACGGGTGCCCAGGCCGAAAAAATATCAGAAGTCCCAGAACGCAGCAAGACGTCTGGTATTTATACAAAACTGAGTGCTACCGATGTAGCATGCAACAAAATGATGCATAAATGCATCAATCTTGTAGCATAAAACAAGAACGCATCAATGCAGCATTAATGACGTAGCAAAAGCGCGCATCTACTGTAGTCCAACTAATTTTACTGCGCGACGAGATATTGTGCTATTTTCGTGTCTGGGCAATATCTCGCCTCTACGTACAACATAAAAAGTACCTTTTCTGTGGTGAAATTTTGCGCCGGGGATTTTGAGCGCAAGCTTTGGACCGTTCTAAAAAAAAAAAAAATTTTTTCGGTATTTGAATTCATAAATTTGAATAAATTTGTTACGATACCTTTAAAGATTATTCATTTCTACATCAATTTCATGTTTTATTTGTGGAAAATTATTTTTTTTTTTCCTAAACATAAAAGATTTTGATAGAAAAGTAAACCACATGAAACCATCAAATAAGACAATCGCCCGCTTAATTGTTTTTTTTTCCCAACCGTTGGGAAAACCAAAAAAAAAATTTAACCCCCCCCAAACTTGTTGATAAAAACTTACCCCCCCCCCCCAACTTTTAGTGGTGTTATTGGCGGTTACTGGCGTTAACTTGGCGTTTACTGAGGAAAAACGCCGAAAACCAACTTTTCTAGTAAAAAAAATTTTATTTTTCAAAAAAAAGGTTTTAATGGGGGGTTTTTATATTTTTAAGGGACAATTTTTATTTTTATTTTTGCAAAAAAATTTAATTTTTAACTATTGAAAGGATGAAAAAATTATTTTAATTGGGGGCAGATGCAAAAAACTATCCCGTTTTGTCAGAAGCGTTCTTTTTAAGAAATTATTTTCAGAATTCATCATTATTCTTTTTTAGAAAGGCCTTACTCTGTAAATTTGGGGACTCCTCCACAAAAAGCATTTTCTAGTTTATAAGAAAAAAATTATTTTTGTTCAGCTTTCCCAGTCAATATAGGACATTGCGGAAAACCTATGGTAAAAACTATAGATTTCCCCCAACGTTTTATTGATGAAAATTAAGGAATATTGGTTAACAAAGCAGAAAATTTTAAAAACGAAAGGTTTTTTTTTTATGTTTTTAAAAGAGCAACGAAACGGATTTTCCTTAGTGCCTTAGCGGGGACTACGGAGGAGGGACACCATTCGAAGGGAATTTGAACGGTTGTTAATTTATATTTAATGTTGATTAACTATTTAAAACCGATATTTTCAATGTTCAAAAATATTTATTATCAAATTAATAAAAAAAAACGGGGGAATTGAATGTCAAAAAGGGTGCCTTCAACATAATTTTACATGTATGTGCAGAAAAACAAAACATTTTCCATGTAATTTTTTTTATTTTCTCATCCACGGCAGCGTCCTTTAATTCTTGGCTTTAGGGGTTTTTATTTCCAAAAAAAAGCTTTCTTTTTGGGGGAAAAAAGGATTTGGGTTTTTTAATAGAAAAAAAAAACCCACCCCAACCCCCAACCAACACAACGTAGTATGAAATCTGTTTTAAATGGAAAACCGTGGGTACGGAATATCATTGGGGAAAAGGTGCCCGCGGCTCCATTTTTGTTTGTTGTTTGTTTTTTGTTTGCAAAAGGAAACTTTTTTTTTTTTTAATAATGTTGGTATTTTACAGTAAAAGAATTTTATTTTTTTTCCATAATTTATTTTCAACCTTATATCCCCGTTCTAAAAGGGAAATTATTTTCTTCTTATAAAAATTAACCACGCCCATGGCGAAGTGGCGATTTGAGAAATCAAAAAAAACCCGGTTATTTTTACAAATGTAACATAAAACCCAACGGAACTTGAAATTCTAAATTTCCCAAAAATTAAAAAAACCCAAAAATATTTAATTTATTTTAAAAATTATTTTTTTTTTCCAAAAAAAATTATTTTTACCCCCTTTTATTACCTTATAATTTTTTTTTTTTATAAGTATTTATAGGGGGTATAATTTTGGCCATATTTATCGTTAAATAGTGATAGGGGAATTTTCCAAGTTTCCTTGTTGCATAAACAAAAAACGCTTTGCGCCGCCTTATTTTCTTTCCCAACAAGAGGGTGGGGTTTTAGGGGTGTGTGGAAAGGCTCCAAAAAAACGAATTTTTAAATAAAGGAAAAATTGCATATTTGGTCAATTTTCCCAAGCCCACCATTGTACTATTCAAATTTTGTATATTTTTATATATTTTTTATATATATAAAAAAATCATATTTTCAAACGTTCTTATAAATAAATTTTACACCAGATAAAAAAAAAATGTTTTTTGGGCCGGAAAAAAAAAAAAAAAAATTTCCGGGGCCCAACCAAACCTTTTTACCGTCCCAAAAAAAAAAAAAAACCCCCACCCATTGGGGTTATTTTTTATTCCCGGTTTTTTTCCAAATTAAAAATTTTTTTTTCCCCCAAACCCATTTTAAAATTTCCTTTTGGGGGGGGGTTCCCAATTTTTTTTTTTCGGACCCCCACAGGAAAAGGAATATTTAAAAAATTTCTTTTCCCATGGATGATGGGTTCAATTTTTAAAACTTTTTCCAAAACATTTTTTTTTCCCAAAAAATAATAAAAAACAAAACGGCCAACCAAGGCCGAAAAATAAAAAAAAAACCATCGAAAAGATTTTAATTTCGGGCCGGTTTCAAAAAATTTCTTTCGGGACCAAATTTTAAACCGTGCCAACCCCCCAAACGGTTTGGGACAAAAAAATTATTAAAACCATTTTTCCAATTTTGGAATTTTAAAAAAAGGCGTTTGGAGCACCACCCCCACCAAAAAAAGTGTTTTCTTTTGTTGGATTTTTTTTTGATTTCCCTTTGGTTTCCCAATTTCCATATAAGAATTTAAGGGGGGGGGTTTTTTCATGCAAACCACGGTTTACTCCATTTTAAAAAACAATAATATGATTAACAAGATTGCTTTACTGCCCCCAAAGTTTATTTAAAAGATTGTTGCTTTGGAAAAACGAAAAAAACTTTTTAAAAATCGGCCCAAAGAAAAAACAAAACCCGGGGCCGGGCCCTTTTCTTCCAAGTTCTTTTTTTTTTTTCAAAATAATAAATTTTAACCTTGTAGTGAATTAGAAAGAAAAACCAGAAAAAAATAAGTTCCTAAAATTATAAAATGAAAAAAAAAAAAGGGGTTTGGTTTTAAATTATTCTTTTGCCGGGTTTTTTTTTTTTTTTTTAAATTTTTTTTCCCCCCAGAAGTCTGGGGGAAAAAAAATATTTTACCGGGAGGAAAAAAAAAAAAAA